ATATTCACCCCAAATTCATCCCATTCTCAAAAAAGCATCCCTTTAAATGGTAGCACTGAGCAGTTTTTTCATATTTGGGGGTCATCGTTGTAGTTCCTTTTTAAGTACATAATCAATAGCCTACTGGTCAGCTCTTTCGTTGCCTCTAATGCCAATGTGGGATGGTATCCACATAAATCAGATTCGTCTAGAGTTTTCTTGAGCCTACATGAGCTTGAATTTTATGTTTCTCTAGAGGGCTTTTGGGATAGATCTGTTTAAGGTTTAAAGGGTACTTAGTGAGTTATGTAGAATAATTGAATTAGGAATTCCATTAAAATTGATGGTGAAATATATTTGGTACTATTGGTAAAGAGATTTATATATTTATTAATGACTGTGTTATTAAAAGAGGTTAGTTTGAACCCATTAACATTGTGTGTGATAACATTAAAAACATTTAGACTAATTTATTTAACCCTTCGGAGGTCGCGGTGTATGTCAGAGATACATTCGTTTAAGTTTAATGTGTCAATATGATTAAAAAAAAGCTGATCGAGATCAAAAGAAATGTTTGTTTTTGTTTTAAAAATAGATTTAAACACGAAAAAATATAGGTTCGATCTGCGAGGTATCTGTCAGATACAACTACTGTTGTTCGGTAACGACAAACGTTCACTTCTCCAGCCGCTAGAAATTACCTGAAAGCCGACGTTGTGAGTTTCCCCACTCCTAAGACATAAATGTAAAGGTAGAAAGTGCCGTAGAATTATACGATGCACTTCTTTCAAAATATTCATAAACATGTTTTCAATGTATCTCTCAGATCAGCCGCGACTTTCGGAGGGTTAAAACTATAAAGGTAAATTGAAATAAAAACCGCTAAAATAAATGTTTTAAAACATAATTCTCACTTACTTGTACTGTATCCAATAAAGTCGTTGGTAACACTTCATCCACTGAGCCGATATCTTTAGAAAATCTGTTAAGTATTCTTCCAGACGGATTAGTATTAAAAAATCTCATTGGGCTATATACAATATTCATGAACATCTTATTGTGCATTTTTGTTGATGCTGCTATACACCACAAATAAAAACTTAGTGATCTAATGTTAACAATAATAACGACTGATCCTACAAGGATAGTATAAAAATAAACAGTATTCTTGGAAGTGAACAAAGGAGTCAGCCACCAATTTTCAAATGAGTGATAGATTTCTGCATCTGGATCTGTTGAATTTATTATAATCTTGGTTGAGTTCCATTGTTGGATATTTACCCTAGAAATCAAGTATTAACTATTAAAATCCGTAAAATAGTTTCGAAACACAATTCAGATTTCTGCTTATAATCTGAGCCTTCTAAAAATTGCAAGGCAAACAGACGTTGATAAAAGATGTTAAAAGGGACATGGGAATCTAAAATTTGCATTTCAACGACATGTCTTTACAACTAAGCAGAAATTCTTAGCGAATTGTGTTTCTTGTACTCGTACAGAGCAGATCCGAATAAAATGAAAAAGACAGCAAATATTTGATTTCACAAAACAGCGCCTACTTATGTATCTGTTGATACGTATTTCGACCTAATAGGTCTCATCAGAACAGTTATTCATAGGTGTTCTCAACGTGAAAAATCAATATTTTCTGTCTTTTAAGAAGCAACACTAAAATGGCTTCAACACGGACGCAACAGCCACATCTAATAATAAAATCCGTAAAATAGTTTCGAATCACAATTCAGATTTCTGCTTAAATCTGAGCCTTCTAAAAATTGCAAGGCAAACAGACGTTGATAAAAGATGTTAAAAGGGACATGGGGAATCTAAAATTTGCATTTCACGACATGTCTTTACAACTAAGCAGAAATCCTTAGCGAATTGTGTTTCTTGTACTCGTACAGAGCAGATCCGAATAAAATGAAAAAGACAGCAAATATTTGATTTCACGCAACAGCGCGTGACATCAACATCTTTGTTATCAATGTCTGTTTTTGCCTTGCAATTTTAGAAGGCTCAGATAATAAGCAGAAATCTGAATTGTGTTTTCGAAACTATTCTACGGATTTATTATTAGATGTCGCTATTGCGTCCGTATTGAAGCCATTTTAGTCTTGCTTCTTAAAAGACAGAAAATATTGATTTTTCACGTTGAGAACACCTATGAATAACTGTTCTGATGAGACCTATTAGGTCGAAATACGTATCAAACAGATACATAGGCGCTGTTTGCGTGAAATCAAATACTTGCTGTATTTTTCATTTTATTAAATATTACTTTTATTGCAAGTAGCATATTCACGATTCTTAAATGATAGATATTGGTTATGTCCACACTAGTGCGCTTTTACTTTCAACATGCGTTTCAACGTTCCTTTCAACATTCAATTCAACATGCGTCAACGCATGCCTTCGCGCGTGCGCTTAGACGCATGCATTTTCCCTGTCCACATAATAAAATAGTGATTTTCAGTCTATTCACGATGAATAAAAGTGACGCTTCCAGTATAAGAAGAAGAAATTCAGATCTTTCGTCTCTCAACACATGACCCAAGTATTGCATTTTCCTCTCTTTGATTATTGATTGATTGATTATTCTTGGTAATTCTTTTTGTTTACACATGCGACAAAGTAGCCCAACATTAGTAACTCTTTTTACCCATGGAATTTTTAAGATGCGTCTGTATATATACATCTCAAAGGTATATATATATATATATATATATATATATATATATATATATATATATATATATTTTCTATTTCAGAGTCCATTATCCAACTTTTATAGCCATACAGTAAGATAGAAAAAACGTAACATCTGATCATTCAGATTCTAAGCTGCAGACTAAGGTCTGATCTTGTAAAAAATGTTTTCATGTTCATTAATGTTTTCCTTGCTTGTTCGATTCTTGATAGAATTTTCTTTTTTGGATTACATTGACTATTGATATTTACTCCCAAATATTTTATAGAATTTACCTGTTCTATTATTTTGACTCTTGGCATACATATATACGTTTATTGGTGTCTTTGAAAATCTTAAATTTTAGTTTTGGAAACATCATCATCATCACGTAGCGTTACAAACCCTGTGTGGGTTTTGGCTGACTGTACAACTTTTTTCCAATTTGTTCTGTCTTCCATCAACAGCTTGAGACCTTGAACCGATAGCAATTCTGTTTTTATTTCAGCCGACCTCATGGCTTTCTCTAATACAAGGTTTAAAAGTAGGGGAGATAACGCATCATCCTGTTTAAGTCCACTGTTGATTTCAAAGCTGTCAGACAGTTTATTATTTACACGTACTTTAGATATTCCACCGTCCATACAAACTTTGGTCATCCGAATGAGTTTCTTTGGTATTGACAACTCCGCCATGGCATTCCATACTTGGGTTCTTTCTACGCTATCACATGCTTTTTCTAGTAGTTGTCTCATCGTGAATAGTTGATCTATTGTTGATCTGTTTACCCTAAACCCGGCTTGATATTCGCCTAGGACATTTTCAGCATAAGGGATTAGTCTACTAAGAATGATGTTTGAGAGGATTTAAATGCCGTGTTTAGAAGTGAGATTCCTCTATAATTCGCTCATTTTGTTTTGTCCCCTTTTTTGTGGATAAGCACTATTATCTTTTCCTTCCACTTTCCATCGTGCTGGTATTATTTCTTCTAACCATATGTGCGTTATTAGCTTGGATTTGGCGATGTAGTGCGTCACCCTCATATTTCAGAAGTTCTGCTGGTATCTCGTCCGTACCTGGCGCTTTGTGATTTTTCAGCTTATTTAAGGCCTTTTGGGTTTCTTCAAAGGAGGAATTTTTTACGGGCATGTCCGCTGTGATATAAATCTCTTCTTTGTGCTGTTCTTCTTGTATGATGTTTAGACGGTTTCTAAAATACTTTTTCCATTCTTCAGATACTTTTTTACCGTCGATTATCATACGGCCTTGATTGTCTCTCGGTGTATGGATGGAATTGGTTCTATGTCTTCTTTTCTCAGAGAAAATTGCTTTATAGAATTCTCTGGAGCCTGGTTTGGGCCGGTCTCCTCTCCATAGCTTCATATTTTTGTTGTTTATAGTTTTCTTTCTTTGTGCGTATTACTTTTCTTGTTTTTTTCGGCAGTCGTCATATTCCTTTTTACTTTGGTCTGTTTGCAGTTATATCCAAGTCTCCCTTACTGTTTGTCTTTTTTCTAGCTGTTTCCGACATTCCTCGTCATACCATGTTTTTGTCCAGTCGCTTCCCATAGCTGTTCTATATCATTGTATTCTCTTTCAGAGTTCAAGGTTTGTTCAAGTTGTTCTCTATAGTTTTGTTGTTTCTCTGCATTGTGTATTTCGTGCATGTTTTATTGTGAGTTTATTGTTGTTTTATTGTATTTGTGGCTAGATATTCTGGATTTGACTTTTGCTCTGACTAAGTAATGATATGAGTCTCCGTCTATTCCTCTCAGGCTTCTTACGTCTATAATATTGTTACCATGATGGGCATCTACAATGATATGGTCAATTTGGTTGCGCGTAATATGGTCGTTTGAGACCCAGGTTTGCTTATGGATGTCTTAATGCGGAAACATGGTTGACTTTATTAGCATATTATTAGCTGCTGCAGTTTCTGTGAGTCTTAAGGCATTGTCGTTGGATATATTGTGTAGGCTGTATTTACCTATTGTGGGGTATAGGCTAGGCTCTTTGCCTATTTTAGCATTTAAGTCCCCGCAGAGTATGCGCATATCATGTTTGGACATCGTATCTATTTCTCTTTCTAGGGCATCGTAGAAGTCATCCTGATATCTTCATCCTTCTCTTCCGTTGGTGCATGCGCTGAGATAATCGAAATGTTGTATCGTTTTCCCTTCATTCGTATGTAGCATATCCTTTCATTTATAGGTTTAAAATTTAGTATATTCTGTACTAGGTTGTCTATTATCACAAAGCCCGTTCCAAATTCATGTCTTCCGTTTTTGTTACCGCTGAAGAAGATGGTGGATTTACTTATTTTTATATTTCCATCATCTGGCCATTTCTTGGACGTTATATCCATTCCTATGTTTTCCAGTTGTTCCACAGCATTTATAGCAGCTCCAGGTCTGTACCAACTCTTGACATTCCAAGTTCCAATATTCATAGTCCTTTTACATTGCTTTGTCGTTTTTTGTGTTTATCTGTCCGGTTCCGAGGTAAAGTTGCAGTTTTTGGAAACATTTAGATGTAAACCGAACATTTCGGTGTGGTGAACTACCGTATTTATTATATTTTGTAGTTCTTGTATATTGCTTGCTATTAAGACGGTATCACCAGCATATCTGATGTTGATTATGGCTCATATACTTCGCTGTATTATTTATTTTAACTCAAAGTAATTCTCAACCTTTTGATTTTCCACTTAAGAAACTAACAAGTATTCCAATATATATATATATATATATATATATATATATATATATATAATATATATATATATAAATATATATATATAAATATATATATATATAAATATAATATATATTATATATATATATATATATATATATATATATATATATATATATATATATATATATATTATATATATAGATTATCGTGCAATATCGCCAAACGATCGCCACGGTCTGATCAAAAACAGCATCGGTCTGAGTCTTTCTGCTTCATTTTGTTACGCAAATAACTATGTAGTTCTAGCTATTCATGTTTCTGCATAATTCAACCTTAGTCCAATGACTTTTTAGATATTTTTATCTTCATAATACAAAATATAAGTTTATGTTAAATAAATAAAGCATAAGAGATAAAGAGACTATGTAAATATAGTATTACTTACCAGAAAGTTATAAAATAATCAGATAAACTATCCAAACCCTGGCCAAGGAAAAACAAGGATATCAACAGAAACACTTTAATTAAATTTCCTCCCGCTCTGGCATAACTCATATAAACGTGATCAGATATATTACCACTTCCTGTACCTTCACGTTTTAAAACCTGGATAGCAGCTTCTTTCTCGGTTTTTTCAGATTTAGTCACAACCCGCTGAGATTTTCTTCTGCTTTCTTCCTCCTCCTCTTCCATGTCAGCTAATAATTTACTGTACTCTGTATTCGACTCTCTTATATCAGAGTAAGATCCTGATACTGCTATCTTACCGTTTGTCATTAAGTAGATCTTATCAATGTTCTTTAAATGTTGTAATTGATGCGTTACTAATACGACACACTTATTACTTAGATATCCACAAATGCATTCTTCAAAGAGATGTTTGCCTACATGAGTGTCAACGGCTGAGAGGGGATCATCTAATAAATATATATCAGCTTCTTTATAGACTGCTCTAGCTAAGTTTATTCTTGCTCGTTGTCCGCCACTAAGAGTAACTCCCCTTTCTCCTGCTAAAGTTCTATCTCCGTGCGGAAATAATGTGAAATCTCTTTGTAAGGCACATACTTTAACCACTTCATCGTACTTTTCCTGATCGAATTGTTCTCCAAAAAGAATGTTTTGTCTTATGCTGCCACCAAATAACCATGGTTCTTGGGAAGCATAAGACACTGTACCAGTTATATCTACAGAACCACTTTGAAGTTCTAATTCTTTCATGATTATGTGCAATAACGTTGATTTTCCGCTGCCTACAGATCCAACAACAGCTACAACCTCACCCGCTGTCACATCCATATTAATATTTTCTAAATTATTGTCTGGTTGTGATTTTAGCCATTTTGCCGATGCTTTTTTAATATGAATACTTCCATTTGACGTTTGTAAAACTTTTTCAGTAATAGAATTATATCGCTTTTTATCGTCCTCCAATTCTTTCCCAGGTTCAAAATGTTTGTCAGCCTTTAGTTCGTCAAACAGTAAAAAGCTTTGAATTCTCTTCATTGAGATAAACATTTCGGAACCTTGAGATACGGCCTGGGGGAACCACATAGTTATAGATCCTAGAAGTCGATAGTAAGAAGCTACTGTATAGGCGTATGAAGCAGTTAGGGTATTTCCTGAGATTACGTAAGTAATTATGCTAATTGCAACAGCACCTTTATTTAATACTGTGGTCATAGACATAAGAAGTCCTCGAATTACAGACGTTTTTCGGATATACTTCATTTCCATCCTAAAACAAAAAAATTAGGTAAGTTTATGTAAAACTATGATGAAAATAATATATAGATGTCTCCACAGTTATTATAATTAAATCTAAAGGTAAGAAAAGTATTAAAAAAATTAATATCACACTATTCAGGTTTTTGAGTTGAACCTCGTCTATTTTCATTAGGTTTCCTAGGCGCCTAGGTTTCGACATCCTTTCTGATGTCTTCTTGAGGGTGTCCGGTGTCTCACAGATCTCTTCACTACCTTCTTCAGTGATTTCAAACAAGTGTCTTCTATTTTGCGCCACTTGCTTCCAGTTGGGTCCTCCGATCTTCTTAATATCATCCGCTTATCTCATTGGGGTCTTCCTTTGCTTCTCTTTCCTAACCATGGTCTCCACTGTTGTATTTCGTGGTTCCATCTCTTATCCTTCAGTCTGACATTGTGTCCTGCGAAGCTCCATTTTAATTTAGCAGCAGATTCTCCCGCGTCTTTTACTTTCGTTTTGCTTCGAATACATTTGTTTGTTTTTTTGTCTATAAGTCTCACCCCAAGCATTGATCTTTCCATCGCTCTTTGTGTTTTTACTATTTTATCCATGTTAGACTTGGTGAGTATTGACTGGCCAGTTGGTTGTCAAAACCAGTGCCAATAAAACAATCACACACACAGACTTGGTGAGTGTCCACTGTCCACGTCTGTGAGCCATACGTGAGTATAGGGAGGATACACTGATCGTAAATTTAGTGCTTTTTAAGATCCAACTCAGTTTTCCAAATCCTGCCCACGCTAATCTTATTTTTCTGGTAATTTTGGCAGTTTGATTTTCTTTGTTAACTTCATTATCTGTCCCAGCTAGATGTATTCGCTTACTGTTTCCAAATTTATGCCGTTCAACGTTATTTTTTTTATGTTAGGCGTATTTGTCATTATTTTTGTTTTTCCCAAGTTCATCTTAAGACCTACTTTTTCCGAATCTTGAAATAGTTGCGTCATCATGGTCTGTAGTTTTTCGAAAGTTGTAGCGAATATTACAATGGCGTCAGCGTATCTTAAATGACTCAGTTTTCTTCCATTAACATTTATTTCTTTATCTGCCCAGTTAATGTCTTTGAACACGCCTTCCAGTCCAAGTGTGAATAGCTTTGGTGAGATAACATTTCTCTTACGAACTCCTCTGTTGATTGGTATAGCTTTGGTTTTCGTATCTATTTGTATTTTCACTGTAGCTTTCTTGTAAATATTATCTATGAGCATTCTGTATCGGGAGTCTATCCTGCAGTTATTCATAGCTCTCTCTATTGCCCAAAGTTCTATGGAGTCGAATACCTTTTCGTAATCAACGAAACCAATGTATAAGACTGTAAGAAAATGATCCACTGTACTGTAACCCTTTCGGAATCCTGCCTGCTCTACCGGTTGATAGCTATCAAGCTTCGACGTTAACCTGTTCACTAGTGTCAAAGTAGTGTAGTACAGGGTGTAGTGAACTATATATTAATATATATATATATATATATATATATATATATATATATATATATATATATAAATATATATATATATATATTTTATATATATATATATATATATATATAAAAAAAAATATATATATATATATAAAGGAAATCATCAATCAAACAAGTTAACATGTGCTCCTTTTCTAATTTGGCTGCGTCGTACTGAAGACGACTAATAGTCAGAAATACGTAGCTTTCCATCGATATACTTCTTTATATATACCTCTATATACTTTTTTTCAGTAATCAAATATATTTTGGTATACTTTATTCCATTATCAGCGATAGAACATTGAGATTACGGCCATTAGATTCAAATGGTATGTAAAAATCCTCAAGTAAGATAAGCATAGCACCATATTAAATGGAGTTAAAATTACTTTTAAAAAAACTTTTAAAAATGTGAAGCTTTATTGCTAGGTATGGCATGCACTTTTTGAAGGTTTTTTTTCTCCAGAAATAGGAGTAGTAAAGCCATATTTCCATGCTTTTGCTGGTATTTATTTGAGTAAAGAGTATATGCATTTTGGATTCTAAATCATACTTGATATTCCCCGATTATTTTTCAGCAAGAATTTTGTAAGTATTTTTTACCCCGAATAAAATAGCCTCCTTTTTATAAATAAATCCATCCTAAGCAGGTGGCAAGAATATTTCCAAGAGCTACTAAATCATAAGGACCAGCACTCTTAAAAGAAATACATGGTTTAATCACCCATATATGGGATGATGAAACAATTCCTAAAGAATGGAAATAGGGCATTATACATCATATTCAAAAGAAAGGCAAAATGCTCCAACTATAGAGGACTTATGTTATTAAACTTACCATATAAATTATTTTCTTTCCTCTTATATAACAAACTGACGCCCCTTGCGGAAGAGATTATTGGTAACTATCAGTACGGGTTTCGACCAAACCGGTCTACTAGTGATCACGTACACATGCTGAGGAAAGTGTTAAAACAGAACCACAAATACAAAATCGACATAAACAGTCTACTTATTGATTTCAAACAAGCTTTTTGACACTATAAACAAGAAAAAACTTGTAACGATATGCATCGCCTCGGTCCTGTCAACGCTTCGTACACACGCATACCCACCACAGTTCCTCCACAAGTTCCTCTTCCATTGATGTGCGCTAGAAGAGATGAAAAGCCTTCGATCGTATAAAATAGCAAAAGGCGAGGATTGATCTGACAACAACTAAACTGGCACTAGGGTATTGACTGAAAGCAAACCACTTCTGCTAGAGTATTGATCTAGTGGCAGTTCTGTACCCGGTTTTGGAGTATTAATCTGAGGCAGAACTATTCTTTCCTGTGGCCGAGTACTGATTGGTCACAGTGCGTTCCTCGCAGGGCCGAGTGTTGATTGGTCCGTTCGATCTCCATTCCTTTAACCCGTTCCTTCCCGTCTGTGTGTATTATCACACCGTAATTGCCGTTTTGAATTTATGTCATTAATTGTATTTTATTTTTCGCAGAGTGAGACGCGGCTACCCGTCACAAACTATATAATAGTCTGGTATTTATGGGTATAGCCAAAGCAGCTGTAGTAATACAAAATATGAGACAAGGAGACCCCCTCTTACGTTATTGTTTAATCTCGTACTGCATGCAGAAATTTTCAAAGTTGCGGGAATCCAAAGACATTTGCGGATACCTTATAAGACATCATAATAGTCATAATGAGATATCATTATAGGAGACTTTCGAAAATCTTGAGAAAACGACGCGAAATCTACAATTGGGGATAGATCATAATAAAAACAAATATATGTTTCCGTAATGCGAAACAATAGAAACTTCTCCCAAACAGGTCTCGACAGTTTTGAAAATATAACAGAGTTCACGTACCTAGGATCCCTAGTAACGGAAAGTAATGATTTAAATACAGAAATAAAGAAGAACGTCAGCAAAGGAAACGGGGCATACTACGGAAATAAAAAACTGCTAGTTTCCAAAATACTAGGGCAAAATTCGAAGATGAAATTGTACAAAACAATAATAAGACGCTGCTTACAGGGAAGGCATTCATACAGCTTGGATATGAATCAGGACATATATGCTTGCTTTATAGATTTCAAGAAAGCTTTTGATAGAGTTCAACATGAGAAGCTTTTAAGTATTCTTAAGACTAAAAACATTGATAGTAGAGATCTACAAATTATATCGAATCTGTATCAAAACCAGAAAGCAAGAGTAAGAGTCGAAGGAGAACTGACAGAGGAAGTAAGTATACTTAGAGGAGTTCGACAAGGGTGTATCCTTTCACCACTCTTATTCAACGTCTACAGTGAAGTGATTTTTCAAGAGGCTTTATTGGATATCGTGGAAAGTATTTATGTCAACGGAAATAGCATTAATAATATTAGATATATCAATATAAGGTTGAATGTTCGAATAATTAAACTTTGAGGGTATACAAGGCAACTATCGAACACGGTGATTAATTTAATCTTGCCCAAGTACTTTCGATCAATAGATTATCTTCAGGGGCATCTGAAATAAGCCAAGAAACGTTTTTTATAAAAAGGAAAATTAATTCACTTGGATAAAAAACTCCAAGTTTATGGTTGAAAAAAATTTTTATATGTGATAAACGTTTATAGACTTACTTCGTCAATTGTGGCCTATCCGACACAGTAGAATGTCATAAATGTAAAATCTGGACATAACAATACAAAATACACTACACTAAGACAAACAAACACTTTAAAATTTATATGGAGAAGCTACATATTGTGAAGAAGCCGGAGACAGAATGGGCTCCCGGTGATCTGCACCTTTCAAAATTCTATGACACTAAGTATTGACCAAAGGTCCAACTGACACCACTATAGGAAATCGACTGATGAAATATAAAATTATATAGTATATTTTTTTTATGTAGATTGAATAATTCCAATCTCACACTCAAACCTGTCTATAATAATTAGGATGTTGGTTTGAGAGCAATTGAAGTTGACATAAAGTATGAATGTGAGAAAAGACTAACAATATATTAGACAGTGGATGGTTGACTACAATAAAATGGTCCACCAAGCGCTATCAGTACTGTAAAAAAGAAAATCTGAATATGCAGTTAAATTACTAAAAGTTAAAATCAAAATTGAAGACAAAATATATAAATGTGTTATAGTCCACGTAGTTCAGTTGAATCCACAGTCAATGGAAGAACTTTAAAATTAATATTGAAATATTCAGTGCATGAAGTCTAAACAGTCGAGCTGGGTCCTCTACGAGGTGAAGCTGTAATAAAGTTTTTAAATATAGGATTAAATTTAGTACAATTTAAATTAATTTGAGTATTAAGACAGTGAGAGTTGTCATTTATTTCCCTTGTAATCTCCAAATCTTCCAATAAATCCAACTCAAGATAGTTTTTCTTTCTGCTAATGTCATGTAAGATAGATGAACCAGAATTGATGTTAAAATTGTGGTTGCTAGATACTAAGTGTTGACCAAAACTTGAAGAATTTGGTCTTTTCAAATGTTCAGAGACTCTAGTGGATAACTTTCTGATGGTTCTACCTACATAAGATGCATCACAATCATCACATTTTAATTTGTAAATACCACTTTTATCAAGTGTATTCATCCTATCTTTGGTATTGATTAAGAAGGAACCTAAAGTGTTATGTGATTTAAAGGAAATTTTGATGTTATCAATTGTAGAAGAAAAAAGTTTAGATATTTTATTGGAAATGCTACTAATATAAGTGAAGGAGAAATATCTGATGTTATCTGAACCATTCGGTTGGGAAAACTGTGAAGAATATGCAAGCTTTTCTGCAATTTTTAGTTTAGCTCTATTTAGAAGTTTGTATATAATGTTGGGATCATAGCCATTATTGCTTTTTAGTAATTTAACTGCATATTCAGATTTTCTTTTTTACAGTACTGATAGCGCTTGGTGGACCATTTTATTGTAGTCAACCATCCACTGTCTAATATATTGTTAGTCTTTTCTCACATTCATACTTTATGTCAACTTCAATTGCTCTCAAACCAACATCCTAATTATTATAGACAGGTTTGAGTGTGAGATTGGAATTATTCAATCTACATAAAAAAAATATACTATATAATTTTATATTTCATCAGTCGATTTCCTATAGTGGTGTCAGTTGGACCTTTGGTCAATACTTAGTGTCATAGAATTTTGAAAGGTGCAGATCACATAACTGCCCTTCATAAGCTGTCATTTGTCACATGTCATCTCTACATTTCCGTCAGACCGGGAGCAAATTCTGTCTCCGGCTTCTTCACAATATGTAGCTTCTCCATATAAATTTTAAAGTGTTTGTTTGTCTTAGTGTAGTGTATTTTGTATTGTTATGTCCAGATTTTACATTTATGACATTCTACTGTGTCGGATAGGCCACAATTGACGAAGTAAGTCTATAAACGTTTATCACATATAAAAATTTTTTTTCAACCATAAACTTGGAGTTTTTTATCCAAGTGAATTAATTTTCCTTTTTATAAAAAACGTTTCTTGGCTTATTTCAGATGCCCCTGAAGATGATCTATTGATCGAAAGTACTTGGGCAAGATTAAATTAATCACCGTGTTCGATAGTTGCCTTGTATACCCTCAAAAAAAAAAAAATATTAGATATGCCGACGATACTGTCATATTTGCAAGTGACATGGAAGATCTACAGTACATAATACAACATGTATATAATGCATGTGAAAGTTACGGACTGCAAATGAATCTCAAGAAAACGAAATCAATGATATTCTCAAAAAAACCACAAAATGTAAATAACCTGATCATCAATAATACAACGATAGAAAGAGTAAAAACATATAAATATTTAGGAACGTGGCTAACCGAAGATGGAGATCAAGTAAAGGAGATCAGATCTAGAATAGAAATGGCAAGAAACACGTTCATAAAATTGAAGAAATTACTTTGCAACCGTAAGCTTAATCTAGAGATTCGCACAAGAATGCTACGTTGTTACGTCTTCTTTACTTTACTATATGGCATGGAAGCGTGGACAATAAAGCAGTCTGAAATCAAAAATTAAACTCCTTTGAGATGTGGTGCTACAGGAGAATGCATAAAATATCGTGGATTGAAAAAGTAACTAATATAGAAGTGTTACAAAGAATGAAGAAAGAATGTGAAGTCATAAAAACTGTTAAAATTAGAAAGATTCAATATCTGGGACATTTAATGAGGGGTGAGAAGTACGTATTACTGAGGTTGATTATGCAGGGGAAGATACAAGGGAAGAGAAACCCAGGACGACGCAAAATGTCCTGGCTAAGAAATTTGAGAGAGTGGTTCGGCTGCAGCTCATTAGAATTATTCAGAAATGCGGCCAACAAAGTTAAAATAGCGATGATGATTTCCAACCTCCGCTAGGAGAAGGAACCCGAAGAAGAAGACAGGGAAGGCACATCAATCCTGTTGAAGAAATACGAAGATGCTGATAAAGATTATGGAATATTTAGCATTTCTATCAACATTTTCATTTGAGCAGCTCTTGCAAATTATATGGATTAACTGTTAATTTTTATACTTACTTTCTTACATATTCTACAAGTTTTGCAAAGGAATACTCCCAAGTGTACATTTTAATGACCTGGATTCCAGAGATAATTTCGTTCATTAGTCTTACTCTTTCATCTGTACGTGTAGCAGTTTTTAACCTAAATTGTGATGTCTTTTTACCCAACCAGGCTAAAAAAAAAATAACAATAGCTATTTCTGTGGTATTATAAAAGAAGTGTATGCCGAAATTTAAGAAAAACGAATTTTTGCTTGAAATAAATAAATACAGAAATAAGAATCACTGTAAACATTTTTTATTTGCAAAGCATTTTCTACCTAGATAAGATTTGAAATAAGAACCAAAAATTCAATGAACATTGCAATGCACCAAGAATTGTTTGGGTACTTCTTGCCTTCGTTTTTACACAATTCTTTGAGACCATGACCTTCGAGAACGATATCGGCAAATCTTCATGGAAGCTACCTACGCCTAAAACTTAGGCACGGTACTCAAAGAAGAAGATGACCTTCCACAGATATGAAGAGAAGTATACAGTGGTAACATCTACAAAAAAGGTGGCAGGAAAAAATGTGAAAATTACAAAGGCTTAAGAATGCTTAAGAGTAATAAACTCACTATCTAGAGTCTACAGGTAAATATAATTAATAGTAGAATCGAAAAAGAGATAAAAGAAGTCGAAGAACAAAAGACCAGAGCGGAAAGATCTTATATGAATAGCATGTTTAGCTTGAAACAAATAGTAGAAAAAATTGGAATATATAAAACTCACATGGTATTTGTTGACTTAACTAAGGCTTATGATATCGTGTCACTTTTTAAACTGTGACCGCCATGGACAATCAAGCCATAAGCCCCAAAATATAAAGAAGGGTAGCGAAGTAAAGAAACTGTACAGAGGTACGACGCCATACATTAAAATCTTTGAAAATTGCACCACTTAGCAAAAAAAGTGCTAACAATAAAAACAATAAAAAAACAAAAACAATAAAAAGCGACTTAAGATAAGGTTACATCTCACAATTATTTAAAAAAAAGAAAGAGCAAATTTAGTGCAATAGAACTCAAGATATGTCATTTTTCCGAACGCCATATCTTGAAATTGTGTTGGATTTATTTAGGAGCGCGGCTAGCTCTTTAGTTAACCCTTGTAATTAACGTATCAGTGATTAATTTAATAAAGTAACTATCTTGGCTCGTAAAGGTCGTGGAACCTCTTTTCTTTTAAGTTGTATTTTTTAACCAGCTTTCCGAATATTTTATGCCAGTTAATTTGATCTAAATCTAACTTAATTTGCCTAATAGTCTTGTATTTTCGTCGATATCTTTGGTCTATTTGATAATTTGTTACAATAGGTAATGTTTAATTAGACGAACAAATTGGGTTTCGTACAGGCAGATCCTGTATGCACAGCATAGTTTCTCAGGATATTGAGGAAAGATTAACCCACAACCTTTTAACTCACCTAGTCTTGATAGATCTGACAAAGACACACGATAGTGTACCACTTTTAATGCTCTGAGAAGCAATGGAAAAAACAAGAAATAAACAAAAAACATATAAAATACTTGGTCCAAATCTCATCAAAAGCAGGGAGCAGGGACAGTGGCGGTCTCAAGGGGGGGGGGGCGATGGGGGCGATCGCCCCCCCCCCAGAAACCTTAATTTTCTGAAAAATTAAGAAGTTAATATACATATTAATCAGAAGTGTGAGATCGAACTAATGCATTGCTATTATTGGACAAAATAATCTAACAGTGTGAAAACGTCCGTAGACAGATTATTTTAATAGCCTACGGTTAGTTTTGATATAACGTAACAAACAAGCGTTTACCTAGAAATTCTCAGCGGTCGTCCCGACACAACAGTGCGTGCGCCAAAACCATTTGCAATTTTAAACCTCGACAATTTGTCGAGAATCTTCTTCAGTCAGACGTTGCTTGCTAGCCTTGCCAGTTGCTACGCTACATATTCAATATTTTATTACTTATAACCTAATAAAACTATTACAATGTATAATGTGAACTCCTTTTTTCCATTCTAATAGACTAATTTGTATTGTATATTTATTGTAAATTTTAACATTTTAAAAGATAAAATGTGTTTTGAGCTCTTTCAATTCAAGCGTAAAACTAACATTGTCAGACTAAACCTCTGAAGTTTGACGTTTGTTCGTGATAACGTAAAACCACCTAAATCGTCAAAGGTTTAGAAAGATGTGACTTGGTTCAGAGGCTTGCCATTGAAAAATACTATCACCCACAAACCTTTACTATTAGACTTTGAGCTGTTTTCAATAGTTCTAAATTGGTTGACCCCCAGACCCCCCTGCAACAGACCATCGCCCCTCCCAAAATCTGACTCTGAGACCGCCACTGAGCAGGAAACAATAAAGAAATACATTCCAGGATTGGCCAAGCAAGATCAGCCATTAGAGAACTACATGGACTATTGTGCAGTAATAAAATAAACAAAAGAAAATAAAAGAAGGATCATTAAAACAATAATAGAAAGTATTTGGTTGTACTGCGCCGAATTCTGGGAAATCAACCAAAGAAACAAATCAAAAATTAAGGCCATGGAAATGAACTATTGGAGACGATGTTGCCAGCTCACTAGACTTAATAATATAAGAAACGAAGATACTAGGAGAGAAATTGAAATTGATTTAGACTTAATTGGACATAATTGAAGCCAGAAGACTAAACTGGTAATAAACACCTGCAGAGAATGCCTAAAAGTACATAAAAAAGAAGATAGAAAAGTGGACGTCCACTAGAAGAAAACGAGGTAGACCAAAATAGTCCTGGAGAGAAGATGTCGAAGATGCAATGACCGCAAGGAATTTAGAAACTGAAGATTGCTTCGACTCCTCAGGTCCTTTACTGGGTCGTGGGTGCTTGATATATCTATGCCCAGATATCTGAATTGCATCACCTGTTCTATGGGGTTGTCCTCAACCACTAACTTACATCTGAGCGGATCTTTTGCTATTGTCATACATTTAGTTTTGTTGGTAGAGATGTTCATATTTAGTAGTCGGCTTGTTTGAAAGAACTGAAAGAGCTGCCTTTGGAGATCATCTTTTGATTCGGCAATAATTGCTGCATCGTCTGCGTAACACACCATACCAAGATCTGATGAGTCAGATCAACAAAGCATCTGCACTGTCAGGATGTCTGCGGGAGATAGTCTGGTCAAATCCGTATATGCGCACAGATAGTAAAATTAGAATCTATAAGACTTGCATACGACCGATCATGACATATGCTAAGGGTTGCCGAAATGAAAACCCTAAGAACAATAATGGGGAAAACAAGAAGAGACAGAGCGAGAAATACAAACATTAGAGAGCAGTGCAAAATTCAAGATATTGTAAGATGGGGAAGGCAGCGCAAGAGGATGTGGTACAACCATGTAAGACGAATGGATGAGAATAGACTCCCAAAAATTGCCCTAGAAAACAATCCGCCCGGTTCAAGACCCCCCGGAAGACCACCTAAAAGATGGAGGGATAGTTGGCAATCTACCTCCCAAGAAATTAACCAGAGGCAGCTTCAAAATTAAACAGATCGAAAGATCTACAAAAAGTAGAAGAAGAAGATTGCTTCGACAGAAAACACTGGAAATTATAATGCGAGAAACGGCGCCAGCAGTAGAAGACTCGCCTATAATTATTAAATTTGATTTGATTTTATTTATACTTACATTGAAGTGGTATGGACAGTAGCAAGAATACAGTTCCAAGTAGTGCTGTCCATCCAACAACAAGATATAACAGCACCATCACGATGGTTGTCTGTATGGGTGCCAAATAAAAATGATGAAGGTGATGTGTTGCTTGATCGAATCTTCCTACATCATTTGATAATAAATTTACCATTTGACCTATTGTTGTCTCTGCTAAAGCTGATTTGCTAAGCTTTAAAGACTTCCTATAGATTAACGAACAGGATGCTATTCTCATCTTCATTCCTATTTGCATTACAGCCAAATTGAATCTATGTACAAGGATAACATTAAGAAATGAAGTAACTATGATTAAACCGGCGTACAAATAAATGTCGTTCATGCTCTCTTCTGTTGGTATTTCTTCATATACTTTTAGTAGCTTTGAAATCAGGAACGGTTGAGACATTCTGAAAAACAAGTAGATATGTATAAATATTAAAACGATATGTGTAGGATAGTTGCAAAACCATGCAATTCCATACCAAATGAATCTTATAAAAGGACAAAAAATTTGAACCATGTCATATTAGTAGAACTATAGTTATCCAAATTTAAAGTTGTATTTAGCTGACAGGTTGACGTTTAAACCTTGAGGTTTTGAAATCGCAATAACTACTTGCTGTTTTTGCAACTGGACGGTCAGTCATAACTAAACTATGTGAAGGTACTAAACTGATGTATTGTAAAAGGAATATTTATTTTTATTTTTGAACAATAAAATTAAGTAAAATTACAGATATAAACTTGAAATTTCTTGCTACAAAAATTACGTACGTGTACCGGGTGGTCCAATAAGCCGATATCTGGGCTATATATCAGAAACTATTCATGTATAACTTTAGGAGAAAAAATTCCTTAGTAAAAGTGGACAAGAGAAATCGCTGGAAATAACTTTCAAGTTTCTGAGTTAACCGCTAGGGGCATAACCTGTGAAGAAAAATTTGAAAACCATTTTTTTGTGAAATATGCCCAATTATACCAAGTGTTAAATAAGTAAAGTAGAAAGAGTCCTAAATTCTGCACAAAGTTGTTCAAGTACTTTTTTTATTTTTTCAAATAAAGGGTAAGGGAGCGTGGGAAAGTATTTGTGGATAAATCTATAACTTTGGTTTGGATTAACCGATTTTAACGAAATTAGTGTGATTAAAAAGAGTGTGGATGATTTAATTTACATCTACTATAAAACAATTGCATTTAGTTTTAATTGTCATGGGTAGAGGGTACATTCGAATAGAAAAATTAAAATTTGTTTTTCTTCAAAATGTTTAATGGAAACTTCTATTTATTGTAAATTATAATGAAACTGGATTAAATTCGTAACAAAATGGCGTAAAGCGCATGTTGATAGCTTTTGTCGAACTCGAAATATGAATAAAAACGCATAAGACCCCACTCTTCTCGGTTGATATTCTGTTTCATATATTTTCTCCTAAAATTTTTTTAGAGAAATAAAAAAAAAAATTATTGCACCTTACCTTATACCTTCAGTCGTAAAAGCCAATATATTTAATAAAAATATTTCGCAAAAAAATGTTCCCATGAGTACTTTCCAGTAGGCTGGGTTTTTGTTATTTTGAATGTGTTTGTTCCATCTTCGCTCCAGTTTTGCACCCAGCGATCCTGAATCATGTTCAGATCTATGTTTGTACATATCATCTTCAGTTAGATCTCTTTTATAACCTTTGGCAAAGTAAGGAATGAGCCAGCTAAAACAAAAGAAAATATTTTAATTACAGAGATAATAATATGTGATTCTGAAAAATACATAATTATAAATAAATATTCCTTACCATTACCACAGAATAATAAACAAACAGAATGCCCACTCTCCACGGAAAATTAAGTACGCTCATCTCCTTCGCGCAGACGTTCCGCCATGTTTTACGAGGATTTTAAAGGGAACCAGTGTTGTTTATGTGTTGTGCATGGAAAAATTAACCAGGTTTATTTGACTTACGGCAATCATAGACATACTATACAATTATATTAACAGTTTTAAATATAATAACATAAATATAATATAATTAAACATAAATGTAAACAATTGCATAACCTCACAAATCATATGTTTGTGTCCTCCTAAAACATGGCGCGCGTGCTGAAAAACTTCAAAGGCGGCATCTGAGAGTGGCCCTTCTGATTGTTTATTATTCTGTGCCATTACTATTGAACTGATCGTAACTGTAACAATTGTTGTATATATTACGTCGGTAAAAAAGTCCCTGGCCTAATTATTAAAAGAAAATATATTTTTTTAAACTATTCTTTATTCATCAAAATAATCTCCGTTAGCGATATTACAAGACATTTCTAATTTTTCGATGCCGCCCTTGTAAAACGATGTACCTTTGCTTTTTTACGTTTCAGTTTTGGCGATCACTTCCATATTGGAGCAATATCTCCTGCCACTGAGTATTTTTTTAGCTCGAAGAAAAAGTTGTAGATGCCGGGGGCCAGATCTGGACTATACAATAGGTGCGGAAGCAATGCAAAACCTAATTCGTACATTTTTGTCATAATTTTCATCGACTTGTAAACAAATGTAGCAGTCGCTGTTGATTGTTTCTCCATGTTTCAAATAGTCAATGAAAATAACTTTTTGTGGGTTCTGAAATACCGAGGCCATAACCTTTACGACGGTTTGTTGCATCTTTGGACGACTTTCTACGGGTGTTATCCACTCAGATGACAACCAATTTGATTCAGCAGTGAAGTAAGATATCCATGTTTTATCCATGGTGATATATTGACATAGAAACTCCGACTTATCCGATTAAATATATCCAAACAGCGCCGAGACTCATAAATTCGCTGTTGTGGTTGTTCTGGTGTGAATAAACTTGGCATCCATTTGGAAAACAGATTTCTTATACCCAAATGTTCGTGTATAATAGTAAAAACGCTACCCTTTGACAACTTTAAAGTGTCAGCTATCTCTTGCAACTTCACTTTACGGGTTTTCATTATAATTTTCATAAACACGTACTACATTGAAATAATTGATAAAACGAACGTTTTGTTTGGTAAATCAGATTTCTGTTATTACATTTTCCTTTCCGCATTAGGTCAAAACATAGCATAGGGATCTGTAATATAATTGCTTATAGTTTTCGATTTCAAATACAGATGTGTTTCCACTAATTTAATTAATAAATCATTGCTATACACCCAATTGGGTAGATACAAGCAAAAATTTGATTTTTCTATTCCACCCCTTTGGGTAGACATGCACATTAGTTTGAGTTTCTGCAAAAAACGTTTGGCTCTAAATCAATTAAATTCAAGTAACAAAAAATTGTTAGTTTTCTATTTTCATTTTGAATGCTTACCAAAGTATTCCATATGTTCTTCGCTAATTACTTACCAGAAAAATAGTCTAGATATTACATTCGTTCTTTCAATTGGATTCAATTTTTGCGGAGGCTGATCATGTCTTATTTCCTCCATTATTAGTGCCTATCTGAAATAAATGTTACAGATAATAAGTATGTAGTACAGTAATGATATAGGAAAAAAGCTTAATATGGTCATTTCAGTCCAGAAAACAAAAACAATAGTCATCAGAAAAAAAATGACTAGATGTAAAATATAAATTGATGGAACCAACATTGAACAGATTATCGAAATCAATTGTTATTTAGGCCAAATAGACATTTGCGCCCCAAGAGAAACAAAAAAGAGAGGAAAAGGACAATAAAAAAAATTAGGTGAAATAAATTAATCTAACAGTGGAGTAGCAAAAGAAAACAGGTCCAAAGACTAATATACCAAAGGTACCAAAATCACATCAAAGAGTGTCAATACATATCAGAACGCATTGTAACAGCAAAGATAAGAATGGAGAAGGAAGACCTGAACATCGAAGAAAAAGAATATCAGAAAAGATCGCTGGGAGTGAAATAGAAAGGGAACACTGACAGAGCTTCTTATAACAGATGGAATACGCCTTCTACGGAACACAAAAATAAATTTGGAGAATGATCAGGGGACAAAGAAAAGAAATGAACAAACTAATAAAAACGAAACACATTCAGAAGGAAAAAATGGGTAGACTACTTTCGATCTCTATATGCTAAAAGTGACGATAATGAACCGGCAATACCAGAGGTGAGGACAAACGAGGAAATAAATATCGAGGAGAAAGAGGCAAAGAAAGCATTAAGGAAATTAAAAAATAGAAAGTCACCAGGAGTGAACAGAATACCGAACGAACTACTAAAATACGGAGAACCAAATCTGATTTAAAACTATTAAAAATAATCCAAAAACTAATAAAACAAAACAGAATTCCACAAGAAGGGAGATCAAGCATCCAAATAACTCCCTTCAAAAAGGGAGACAAATCGTACCGGGAAAATTACAGAGGAATTAATTTATTAAATACAACACTAAAATTAACAACCAAAGTGATAATAAGTAGACTGAATGACATTATAACACTAGCAGAAGAACAACAAGGTTTTAGGTCACGAAGATCATGCATCGATGCTATATTTATAATGAGGCAAGTGCAAGAGTAATCATTAGAATGCAACAAACCAGCATATTTATGTGGGTCTTGGTTGACTGTACAACTTGCTTCCATCTTGAACGGTCGTCCATAATAGTTGGGTCAGTGGGTAGCCCCACTGTTCTTAGATCTGACCATTATATTGTCTCTTCATCGCATTCGTGGACGTCCTAAGGGCATTCTTCCTATGGGGGCTTTCTCCCATATTAACTTGGCAAGGCGGTTATTAGGGAGTCTATGGACATGGCCAGCCCATCTTAGATGTTGGGATTTATTCTCTTGGACTATGTCGGTCGCTTTATATATCTACTTGACCTCAGCATTTGTTCTCATTCGGTATTGGTTGCTATTAATGTCGTGATAAGGTCCAAAGATTCTTGAGGATTTTCCTCTCAAAACATTTAAGTTTTCTTTCAGTTTATTTTGTCAGGGTCCACGTCTCCTACCCATACATGAGCACCGGTCTAATCACCGTTCTAGATATTCTAATCTTTGATGTTCGTGTTAGGCTTTTAGATTTAATAGTATTGTGGAGGCTGTACATACATCTGTTTGCTGCCTGAATTCTGCCTTTAATCTCTTCCGCGATACCGTTATCTGCAGTGATTGTTGCTCCGAGATATTTAAAACTCTCCACTCTTTTAAAGTTATATGGGTCTATTGTAACATTTTGCCTTATTCTACCTCGTCCCTTTTGTCTGTTGATGCACTTGTATTTGGTTTTCTCTTCGTTTACCCTTAAACCAGTTTTCTTTGCCTCTACCTCCAATTTATTAAAAGTCTCCTTCACATTGGTGACTATGTTTCCCACAATGTCAATGTCATCTGCGTATGCTAGTAGTAATTTTGGTCCATTTACTGTTAATAATTCTGTTTTAAGTTGTGCTGCTTTTACTACTTTCTCCAGGATCATATTAAAAAGGAGAGGTGACAGCGCATCTTCTTGTTACTAGCCACTGATTATTTCAAAAGATTCTGAGAGTTTGTTACCTATCCGTACTCTGGATCTACATAACTTAACAAGCTGAATAAGTTATTTTGCAACTGAAAGTTCTGCCATTGCATTCCACATCTGATCCCTTTTAATACAAAAGAGATACCTCTAGGAATAATCCGATCAAAAATATCTACCAAAATAACACAATAGATTCACACAGAAGATCTAACTGACTCTATTGAAGCTGGCAATGGAATAAGACAGAGATATTCCCTGAGTGCTCTATTGTTCAACCTATTATGGATGAAATAATAAAAATAATAAGAACTAAAAAAGGAAAAAAAATTGTTCTGAAGCTATTTTCTTGTGGCATTTTAAATTAATTACTATTTAACTGGGAATAATCCACAATTAATGATAAAAATACGTTTATTGACGTTTCAATTTTCACTTCGGAAATCGTTCTCAAAATACAAACAGTAAATTAAATTAAATTAATTAATTAAAGTAAATTCAATTTACTGTTTGTATTTTGAGAACGATTTCCGAAGTGGAAATTGAAACGTCAATAAACGTATTTTTATCTTTAATTGTGGCTTATTCCCAGTTAAATAGTAATTAAGGAAAAAATATATTTCGGTTTCGGGGTTTACAATTATTGTACCTCACCATCAGGCGAGTAGTAGAAACTTTGTAGGATAAATCGTTACAGTAGAAAATTTTTATCATTAGCATCTATACTATTGGCAGATGTAATTAGCTGTCAATATAAGTAGGTATCTATTATACCTCATTCAATACTATCAAAATTTTTGCAATTATGCAATAGTTTTAATTGTTTATGATGGCTTATTAATCTTTGATATTATCATGTTTCGAGATTAAATTGTTACAATTTTAATATCATTGTAATCACCCAAATTAAACAATTTAAATATTTTATACTAATCATATTATATAGGTAATATTTATCAGCTATTGAATATTGTTTTGAAGGTGCCGGCTCCTTTTTGATATAGAAAGCAGATGATATGAGTCCGCTAGATGCAAAACTTTTTATTTACTGTATAAGTCAAACTGAGTTATTTGAAAAAAAACTGATAAATTTTGCAAAAAACCTTAGACATAATAAATGGCACTTTTTTGGGATAGATAAATGCTTTATTAGGTAAAATATAATGATTTTTTTCTTAGAAAAGTTATTGGGTTTGCTAGAAAAGGAAGAAAAATTTGAAAATACCGAGTTTTGCAAGTGAACTATGTAAATATAGATTTATGCAACTAACATTTGCAAATAAATGATAATAGTCAACCATTAACGATATTAGTGGTTGTTATATTAGTCTGTTTTCTAAACCTAGTATGTTAGGAATAAGGAAGAAAGCATGTGGAAGTAAACTTTTAGTGAAGTTTATTTTTATCCAAAGTACAAAAGGTATTACAAATTATAATATGTATATATTTATATTAATTCCTAAACTCTAAGTTCCTCTGGGTCCTCATCATCAATATGATCATTTTATGCAGCACTCTCGTTATTATTTGCTTGTACGCCAGTATCAATAATTTTATAAAATTTGAGATCCGGCTGGTCTCTCCAATTTTCACCAAAATGGTTTCTAAGGAGAGTGCCTATGGACGATTTATCTCCTTTCAATGAACTTTCAATCTGTTGTAACTTTGGTTTCAATAAAGAAATCTTTTTCCCTTTTCGTATTATAGACTTGCTGAACCCTATGTCAGAACGATAAAATATTTCCCCCCTTACCGTAGCCATATAATCTTTGTCCTTAGAAAATATAAATCGTCTCGTTGCATTACATTTAAAATGCCACTGGGAAGGTTTTTTAACAACAACGTCACTCGTCTTTCTCCAGTCTGATATCCGCCAGTATTTACCAAGTCTCAGCACCTTTGAGTGTTTTCCAATTATGTCTTCATATTCTTTTCTGTTTATTACAACGTTCTTCTTTTTTATCTCCCTTTCTATCATACCGAAAATCCTATCTGGTGGCAAAAAGGAATGACCAACAACAGGAAACGTAAACTCCACTTCCTTGATGTGACCAGGTACTTCATAAACCAACCAGTAGATTATCATAGACATCATCGTGCTATTTTTGTTCTGTCCACCACATCCATCTGCAAATAGGTGAATTTTTTCGATTTGATTTTTAAAGTTGAATTTTATGAGAGTATCATGTACAGCAGAGGCAACAGCATTTGAATCTTTTGGATGTTCAAACTCCAGCCACACATATGACGTCACATTTGCAGAAGAAAGATCAGATTTCGAATTTCCAGCCACGATGGTGAAATTATAAAAATTTATTTGGTGTGAGAAATAAGCCGCCTGGTCGGGAAGCTTTGGCAAAGAAAGATTTTTTTGACAATCAAAAGAAAATATTTGTATGTTATGATTTGATTCATTTTTTAACAAAGAATAAAAGGCTTTAGCTCTTAACGTATGAACTCTCTGCTCTGTAACCTAACCTAACCTTTAACTTTTCTTCTTCTGAATTTTCTTTTCTCAAAATTCTCTTCGCTCTGAGACACGCAGAACAAGCATCTACTAAGGGAGTGCCGAATGATATGTTGTAGTGTTCATTAACGTATGTTCGGAAATATGATAACTTTACGGAATGATGTGGATGACGTTGACCATACATTCTGTAAAGCTTTGTAAAATTCAGATCACATGGTAAATACAATCTAGTCGATCGTCCTCTATTATAATGACTCTCTGAACCGTTCAAACGCCCCATAAATGTTTGGATAGATAATTTTATTGGATCAAATCTAACTTTTGTTGTATATCCCCCTCTTCTCTATTTTGGTATTTCACCCCGGATAACAAAGGTTCTTACAACACGCTCTATTCTTTCAGAACTTAAATGAGTTATTCCAAGAAATGCTGTCTTGCATACTCTTAAAAGTCCACCCTCTACTGTAGGAACAAAATATTTAATTGAAATTCCATGTAGGTTTGTACCTGATCTC